GAGAGCCTGGTCTGCATAATTCCAGGACAGTCAGGGCTACCTTGTCTCTGAAAAACAAAAAACAAGTCGGGTGGTGGTGGTGGTGGTGCAGGCCTTTAAACCCAACACTCAGGAGGGACGGGCAGGTGAACTCAGTGAGTTCAAGGCCAACTCTGGTCAGCCAAGCTAGTTACAGAAGGGAGAAACCCTGTCTCAAAAAACCAAAACAAACGTTGGAAGCCTGTGGGATAGGGTGATGGTACACGCCTTTAATTCCAGTACTGAGGTAGAGGTGGTCAGAACATTCTGAGTTCAAGGCCAATCAATGAAATACCAGAGTTCTTAAAAACCCAAAACTAGCCAAGCAGTGGCACACACCTTTAATCCCAGCACTTGGGAAGCAGAGGTAGGTGGATCTCTGAGTTTGAGACCCAGCCTAGTCTACCGTGTCAGTTCCAGGATGAGCTAGGGCTACACGCTGACACCTTGTCTTCAAAAACCAAAAATCAAAGGGGGGAAAAAAAGAAAAAAGAAAACCCAAAAAGAAGCAAGCAAAAAAAGGTGTCTTAGGCATACAGCCTGACGTTTCTAAAGGTCTGGTTTTCACACACACACACACACCCTCCCCCAGTAAACAAAAACAAAAAGAGAGGAAAGAAGGGAATGAGAAGAAAACTACTCCCTCACCCCCTGTCAAGAAAAAAGTGACCAGTGAATATTAAAGAAATCTACTTCTCTGCAGATTTCTCACCAAATGTGAAGGTATATACTATCACCATTCCAGCACTTGGCAAAGGGCAGTCTTAGGTTACATAGGGAGAGGCATCTTACAAAAAAGAGAAAAGAAAGGGAGGAGAGTGAATTTACTTCAGATAGAAAAATGAATCTGTTTTACAAGAAGGCCACCAGAGTTTTAACTATGAAGTCACTTCGGGTTGGGGTGGAAGGGTGGCTGTGGACCTTATGGTTCAAGAGTCCTCTTACTACTAACTCTTTATTTTTCCAGGCAGGGTTTCTCTGTGTAGCCCTGGAACTCACCAGGCTGCCTCAAACTCAGAGATCCGCCTGCCTGTGCCTCTGCAAGTGCTGGGATTAAAGATGAACGCCGTGACGACCTGGCGTTACTACTAAACTCTTATTTCCAGGCCTCTTTCCTCTTTTGACCCCAACAAGGAAAACCAATTTACTATTCAGCCAGATCCCAATTTAAGTAAGTAAGGCTGAAAACAGGAGAAGTTAAAAATCAATGTGGTGGAGCTGGTGAGGAGGCTCAGTGGTTAAAGTATTTGCTACCAAACCCCACAGCCCACATGGTAGGTAGGATAGCTGTCTTCTGATCTGCACCCACACCTGTGGCAAACACAACTACACCAAATAAAACTAAAATGGTAATTAAGTATAGAAGCCTGAGACCTTGAGTTAAATCCCCCAGCACACAAGACAGCTGGTATCATCTAGATGCCTGATGCCACCCAGATCAACAGACAAGTCAAAGGGACCCACCAGTCAGAGACAACAGACACCACACTTGTTTTCATCAGTACCCAGATTATCAGCACCTAGGGAAAACAATGAGGACACCACGTCACAAAAATCACATAGGCCTGCTCCCATCTTAGAGCTTTAATCTATGGATTTATATGCAGCTGGCAAGTTTCTGATTAAAAAAAAACATGATTTCAATGACAGATGTGTGTAGTTTTCAGGGCAATTCAAATGAGCTTATTTCAATTCTTAAGATTTAAACTCTTGTTTCTAATGAAACCCAAATGGCAACAAGATGGGATTTAGCCAGACATGGGGCACACACCGAATTCCAGCATTTGGGAGAGAGAGGCAGTCACATCTCTGTAAATTCTAATTACAGATGAGACTAATGAGACACTGTTTTATGGTTGTGGTAGGGGTGGTGTGGTGAGGGTGAAAAAGAAACTCAAACAAACAAAAAACCCCCAAAATGGTTAAGCCCAACACTTGAAAGGCAGAAAAGGCAGAAGGATTATTGCAAATTCAAAGCCATCTTAAATTTCAAATAGTCCTAAACCAGCCTGACCCTGGCACAAAAAAATAAGTTTCTGTGGTATAATGGTACACACTTTAATCCCAGCACTTTGGAGGCAGAGGCAGGCGGATCTGAGTTCAAAACCAGCCTGATCTGTAGAATGAGTTCTAGGACAGCCAGATGACACAGAGAAACACTGTCTTGAAAAACAAAACAAGAGGCCGGGTGATGGTGGCGCACGCCTTTAATCCCAGCACTCGGGAGGCAGAGGCAGGCAGATCTCTGTGAGTTCGAGACCAGCCTGGTCTACAGAGCTAGTTCCAGGACAGGCTCCAAAGCCACAAAGAAACCCTGTCTCGAAAAACCAAAAAAAAAATATAAAAAAATAAAAATAAAAAATACATTATTTTGAGCCAGGTATGATGGCACAGGCCTTTACTCCCACTACTTAGGAAGCAGGGGCAGGCGGACCTCTGTGAGTCTGAGGCCAGCCTGGTCTATAGCACTAGTTCCAGGACAGAGAGACAGAGAGACAGAGAGACAGAGAGAGAGAGAGAGAGAGAGAGAGAGAGAGAGAGAGAGAGAGAGAGAGAGAGAGAGAGAGCGCGCGAGCGCGCGCGAGCGCGCACTGGCGATGGCTCAGCAATTGAGAGGACACAAGTTCAGGTCCTAGCACTAACAAGACAGCTCAACCATCTTGTAACCCCAGTTCCAGGGGGTCTAAAGCTCTCTTCAGGTCTCTATGGGCACACTCGTGATGCACAAATACGTACACGCAGGCAAAATACCCATACACATAAAGTAGAACAATTAAAAACAAAGTTTTTTTTTAAGGGAAAAGAAAATGTGGGCACAGGAACAACTCTACACAAGAGGAAAAAATTTCCCACAAGAAATGTTTTTTAACATTCTAAAGAGTTAAATCATAATAGCAAATTCCCCTATTAGTTCTGTAGAAGGTAAAACTTCCAGGAACCCAAGTCAACGAAGAGATTTCCCTGCAGGACTAGGCTAGACACGTCACTAAGGAACAGGCTTACAGCTCTCATGTATAATCAGTCCCCATCCCTATATACAAATCATAAAACATACACCTTCCTCATGTCCTCCCTTCCAAGTGCCCTTCTTTTCACAAGAAAGCTCTGCAATAAAGATGCTGTCACACCTAAAAACACTACAGCAATCAAGAAGACACTCTCACTCCACAAAGATCCCAAGTCATCTTGGAAGCTTTCAAGGCTCTATCTGCACCGCCTGTAATGACTGCTCTGCTGGTAAAAACTCAGTTTGATTCCCTATGACCTCTAGCTTGGAGCAGGGAAGCGAGCGGGGGGGGGGGGGCCCAGAAGAGACAGACAAGTCTGCAAAGGAGCATCAAGATCAGTGGGTCAACTACAGTTGACTCCTGGCTGACAAACGGATGTTACCGGGAAAAGAGCCGAATGAAAGGTCTCTCCGGCCACACGTTTGCAAGATTCAAGTTTACCCACAAGCCCTCAGAAAATGAAACCAAATCAGATTAAAATGGACATTTCAAAACAACAAGAAACGCAGCATCGAACGCACAGCTGCCATTTCCCGGCCACTTCCTGCGGGAGGCTGGGGGAGGGGCAGTTTGTGTACAGATGGAGGTGGTGGACGCCATCCCCACCACCACCACTCCCCCGAAGGCTACAAATCCCTCACTCCAAGAAGCTCCACAAAGGATGCCAGCCTGTTATTGGCACTGACTTCTACACGTCGGGAACGCGGGGGGGGGGGGGCGAGGGGAAGGGAAGGGACGATGAGAGAGCATCGTTTCCGCACGGAAACGGGGGATCCCCTTCACAGAGGATTTCCTTGGAAAGGAATGCCTCTTTATTCTTCCCCGCAGTTCTCCGCCCGACTCAAGCGCAGACGCCTAGTGTGAGTCCTCTACCTCGGTCTCCAGAGCAGAGGACTCTCCCGGGGCTCAAGGGCCCCGAGCCTTGCAAGCCGGCACTCGCCCCAGTCAGTCCCTCTCCAGGGTCACAGGAGAAACCAGAGCGCTCCCGGGGAGTCACCCAGCGACCCCTGGAAACCCCTTCCGCAGAGCACTCACCACCGCCAAAACCCCCGCTCCACACGAACCTCCAGTTTAAGGCACCCAGGGAACCCCCGGATCCAGCCCTGCACGCGGGCAACCCCCGCCGCCGCCCCAGGAGGTGGAGCCCCTCCCGGGCCCCGCCAGCCAGCAGCTCCGCCGCCGCCACCCCCGCCCCCGGCCGGGGTCCCCCCCACAGCCTCACCAGTCCCCTGGGCAGGCAGACCCAGCGTCGGGCGGCGCCCCGGCGGGGAGGGAGGACCGGTCCGCTCCCGAGCTCCAGCTGCCTGAGGGACGCCCCGAGGAGCGCTGCGCTCACGGCCCTCAGGCCCCGGGGCCACACACCCTACCAACCTGAGGCGACCGCGTCCAGCCGAGCTTGGGGGCTCGCTTCTCCCCGGGGGACAGGCGGTTCACATGGCCACGCTCCGGGCGCCAGGAGGGGAGGAGACACCCGCGGGGAGAGGGGAACAGGGTACGGGGTCCGGGAGGGGGCAGGGGGTCGCGGTTCAACCGCGGGGCCCGAGCGGAGCCAACATGGCCGGCGGGGGAGGAGTGAGTCGGAGCCGGAGGGGGCGGGGAAGCTGCGGCCGACGGACCGCCCACCGAGGCCGCGACCACAGGGTCCTAGTGCCCGGCTCCTCCTGTTCAGATCCAGATCTGGGTCCTAGCGCCGCTCTGAGGCCCTCACCTCAGGTCCCCGCTTCACCTGCATCTCCAGCCTTGCTAAGCCCAGGTCCGACAGAAAGGCGAGCCCCATCCCAGGGTTAGCCTAAACGACTAGAGCACATTTCTAGGACCGAAGGCAGATGAGGCTTTTCTAACTGTAAGGGGATACCTGGAGGATCATTTCAGGGCTGTTTATTTCCTCAGCAGCGTGGCGAAAAAGTGGAAATTGATAGTTAGGGAGAGATTGACACCAGGTGAAGGGATGAAGGGAAGCAGAAGTCCACTCACCTATGTTCTGTAGGGACAACCTTGTCCTGCCTGGATCACCACTTTCCTGGTGACATCTGCAGGGCCTTTGACGTCGGAGAGATTCCTGCACATGGGGAAAGGAGGCTCGGCTCTGAGTCTAGCCAAATGTGGCCAGAAGTAGAAAATGAACAGCAAACCAACCAACAAATAACATGTCCCAGTGTTTACTCTTCCCATACCTCTTCTAACAACGTTGCTGAAAGTAAAATCTAGCAAGGAATTCGAGTTTGGCTTTCACCTAACTGTATTTCCAGGAACCACGATGGGAAATAGTGTCATATGATGTCAGTTTATTGATTTCTTTTTTTCAAGACAGGGTTTCTTTGTATAGCCCTGGCCGTCCTGTAACTCGGCCTGTAGACCAGGCTGGCCAACAGAGATCCGCCTGCCTCTGCCTCCCCGAGTGCTGGGATTAAAGGTGTACACCACCACCAACCGCGCTTATTGATTTTTTTTAAGTCACTTATCATTTGCCAGGTGAAGGAATGCTGCGGAAATGCACTGACTTGCTCAAGGTTATACATTCGCTAAGTACGTACGGTACAACCAGAAAAGAACCTTCGTCCCCTTTCCTTACAAGTCAAGCCTTTTCTGGCTTCGTAATTTCCATTCAGGTCAATGAAATGACATTCTAGGATACAAACAATTGCCTAAACTATGCAAAGCAAAGGCTGAATACCTAGGAAAACAAGGCACAGAGAAAGGATAATGAAAATGGTTGGGTGGTGTCAACAAATACCCTTTCCTCTTGGGGGATGCTAAGCGACTGGGAAGTTGGGTGTGGATAGAAGATGGTAGCTCCAAATCCAGCAGTTTAAACTGGATTTCCCCACTTGGGGGGGGGGGGTTCTGAGCGTGGGAAACACATCCCACCCATTTTTCCAAGTTCAGCTCAGAAAGCATTAAGATCTTAGAAAAGTTGCCAACAATGTGTGCCAGCAGAGGTTAGGGCTTCCTCTCCCCAGCCGAGGTGAGTAAATTACGGAGGGAAGGAGGAGACAGGCAGAAACAAAATCCTTCTCTCTTTCCCGTCCAAATGGGTTCATAAAGTCGGCCATGGTGGCCCACGCCTGTAATTTCTACACACTGAAGAAGCAGAGATGGGAGGACCACCATGAGCTCAAGGCCGGCTTGGTCTACACATCGAGTTCCAGGTTAGCCAGGACAACACGGTGAAACTTTGTCTGGAAAAACCAAAAGGAGATTTATAGGTCACCTGGGGGATAAACTTCACGCCTCCGACAGTCCACTAACCTCAAGCCCTGCTAGAGGCTATGCTCAAAGCCGGGAATCTGTCCCTCTGGAGAAAGGAGAAGTGAACTTTCGCTAAGGAATGCTAGCCCCAAAATTAAAAACAAAATAAAAATAAAAAAGGTTACGTTGGAACTGGCACCTGTGGGCAGGAGGGGGAGGAGGCAGGTGCACAGGAAAAAGCTGGTATCCTTTTTTCCTCTTCCTTTTCCAGCGGGGACTCTTCCAACCTCACCACCGGGCTAAACAGTCCGAGACCGGGCCGGCAGGGGAGGAGCCTGCGCCAGTCAGACGTCCGTGACCACGCCCCCTTCGCTTCACCACCACACACCCACACACACCCACTGCTGGCTCCGGAAGAGCCGGTTACTCCTGTGCCCCACTGTCCCCACCCCTTCCGAGCCCCAGGCCTTGTCTCCTGGGCAACCTCTAGGCCCTAACCCAGCCCTGAGCCGGGAAAGAAAGGTGTGTGCCAGACCACCTGCGATCAGAAGAGAAAAGCAGGGGACAGAAGGGCTGACAGCGATCACCTTCAACCCCGAATAAAATCCTCCTTTATCCCATCTAATCTGGGATCTCCCCTGCTCTCTGAAGGATATGGGTGGGCTGGGAATATGCCCCAAAGCTAAGTGTTTACTTCGTGCCCGACGCCAGGACCGGCAGCCCCTGTGACCCCCCCTCCCCACGCCAAATTTGGACAACAGAGGGCAGGCTGACCCCATATGTCCCCCAAACATTTCTCAATCCCATAAAATGGGGCTAGTTGTCCACCAAGCCTCGCCTTGGATACTAACAAAAGGAGCCAACGGTCATTTCATCAGCAACTTGTGAGAGAGTGGGGGATAGATAGGCTGAACCTCCTCGGAGGATGAGAACTGAGGGGGGGGGTGTGAACACCTGCTCCTTCTCTGCCACACTCTCCTTGTTCCTGCTGAACCTCTCTAACTCTGGGTCAGCTGCCACCGTGCCAGCCACGCTGGAGGCAGATGGTTGGGACTAGGAGAGCCTTGATGGTGTAACAGCCTAGTTCTCTTCCCCTTCCCCTTCCAGACACTCCTAGCGTCGAATCCAAGCACCACAGGCTCACCCCACCACACACACACACACACACACACACACACACACACACACACACAGCCCTCCCAGCACCCTGGGTCGTGACTCAGAATAGTAGAAGGAATCCTGACGCCCGAGCCTATCACTCTAGAGGCAGAGGCTCCAGAGAAGGAGCTAGGGGCTCGGCTGGACTTGGCGGAAGGGGTATTCCCTATTGAAGCTGGGGTAATTATAAAGACCGCCCACGCGCTGACCGAAGCGACGGCTCTCCCATTGGTCCCCTTCGCCACTCAGGTTCAGGCAAGACAATCGCAAAGTTATTTTGGGAAGGCTAGTCTCTCATAATACACCAGAAGAAACATAAAGGAATATAAGCCCTCCCCTTCTCCAAGGGGGCCTGCGCCCCTCAGTTTTAGCCTTATTTCCAAATTTCCCAACGGACAGCTCCACGGTGGAAATGTAAGACGGCGACAGCTTTTTTTTTTTTCCTGGAGAAATGTGAAATAGAGAAGATCGGGTTTCCTCTGCCTTACCCGGCACCCCAAATCCCTTAAGAGACTCAGCCCCAGCCTATTCTGCCGCAACAGCCGCTGAGGCCGGGTATCACAAGGTTCCCGCAGCGCCGCTGCCCCCAGCGCCCGACTAGGGGAGGGGCCAACCCCAAGCCGGGCGGAGGGCCCTTCCCACCTGCATCACGGGGCGGTGCTCGGGTCCGACCCCAAACTCCCGAGCAAAAGCTTTAGGTGGGACTCAAATGAACTTGAAGGGTGAGCGAGCGAGGCGGACGGAGCCCGTAGTGTGCGTTGTCTCTCCCGCCCCCTTACGACGAGGAGTTGTTGGGGTGGCGGTTATTCCCCCTCCCATTGGGGTTAGGATGGCGTGGGAAAGCGCTAGTTCCAGAGAAGGGGAGGCGAAACCTAGACCGCGGGAGATCTTCCTGGCCAGGAAGGCGCGGGGGAGGGGGAGCTCCTGGGCCGGAACAGGGGTTCCCGGGAGAGGATGGCGGAGAGGCGTGAGAAGCATCCCGGTCACAGAGGACAGGGGAGGAATGGGCGAGGAGACTGTGCGGGGGAGAAAAGGAAGGGCAGCCGGCGCAGGGAAGGTCAGACCCAGGATCCCACGGGAGGAGGCGGCTGCGGGGACGCCCTGCACGGGACTACGGGCCTGGAGGTGGATGCCGGGCCTCACCTGAAGCAGGGCCGGGCCGGACGGCGGCGGCGGCGCAGGTGGCGGAGCCGGGCGGCGGCGCCTCCTCCCCCAGCCCGAGACCGGCGGTGGTGGAGGGGGGAGGTGGCGCTTAAAGGGGCAGGAGCTACCCGGTTGAGGACGAGCGCTCAGGGACGGCTGTCGTGAAGGATCCGCTGGGGGAGGGGAAAGCGGGTGGCGTCTCCTAGGGGCCAGAACCAGAAAGGATCCCAGATGCAGGAGAAGACAAACTTTGACGACGTAGTTGGTGATGGCGGTGGGTCAGAACTGGAGTACTTGAAGATCTCTCTTTCTGCGGGCACTCTCGGGGGCGCCAGCAAAGACTTATTCACAAAGGACGCTGGGAAGACGGTGGGAGCCACAAAGATTCAAGGAGGCCTAGGGGAGCAGCGGAGGGAACTAAAGGCCGAGCGTGTCAGGGTCACGCACAGCGCCCTGCTAGGCAAACACGCTTCTTCCGGGCCCGATCCGTACTACAGCTGTGGAGACTCTGGAATCAGGAAGCCACAAAGGCAGAAACCCTCCCTGTCCTGTCTGTCAACCCTCTGGGTATTGTAGAGGCCGTCCACAACGGCGGAGTGGGTCTGTGCAGGACTGTGAGAATCGGCTTTATTCATAGCTCAGTTTGGCCCCAGCCACTACCACCACCACCACCCTTGCAGCAACCTCTGGGGCAACAGGAAGCAGCTGCTCAGTGCAGCCCCGACCTGGTGGTGGGTTAGGATGGGGGAGGAGGAAATACCGGAGTTTAAAAGCCTTGAGAGAAACAAGGGGTAGGGGAAGCTTCTCTAACAGGACCAAGACCGGACTAAGTAGTGAATACGGTAAAATACTACCTGAATCTCAGCAGCTTAATGGGGGGTGGGGGTATAAGGAGACAGGACAGTGGGGGCGCTTCATGGGGAAGGAAGGAAGCCCTAAGAAGATACAGCCCCAGGCTCTTCCTTAGAGCGGAGTTTGCCAATGCTAGGGTCTCATGTCCAGAAGCTCATTAGCCCTGTGCCCCCCCCACAGTCCATTTCCTCTCCTTCACCCCCCAAAAGAGCAAAGGTTAGGCCCCACCCCTGCTGAGTCAGCCGGGGAGGGAGCTAGGCATCCCTTCAGGCCTTTCCCAGGGGCGGCTATCATACTTACCCATGTCAGGCTGGCAGGACTCCAGATTAGGACCCAGCTTTTCACTGTCCTTGGGTCTCGCTTCAATCGAAGGCTGGCGTTAGGTTCTCCCCAACTGTGAGCTGGGAACTCGAAAAAATTTTAAAAAGCCAATGTATGCTTCCTGCGAACCACACAGTCTGAACTGCTGTAGGGTGATGTCCCTGTATGACAGACTGGGGTGGGAGGGAGGAGAGAAGGGCGGGGCTTTCACTGGGTGGAGAGAGGGAGGAGGCGAGGACAGGGCCGACCAGGAGAAATATGGAGGTTAGAACTCTGTTAACACTCCAGGACTGTGGTCTTGGAGGATAGCAATCGGAGAAGGGAACAGTTGCAGCTAAGGAGAGGTAAAGGTTCAGAAGGTTATAAATACTGGAAGACGTGAACACCGAGATGCAAATGACCTTCAGAAGATCCGTTTCCAAGTCTGTATTTCGGTGACAAAGCAGAAAAGGTGACCTGTACTCTTAGGTCTCCGCCAGCTTCTTATCCACTGTATTCAGGCTAGAGGAGGTGTCCCCACCCCCATAACAGCGTTTCCCCAATCTAAGCTTCTCCGAGAGCAAACTACCAAGCACAAACAACTCAGGGGCGCCACCTTCTGTCCAGATCTTGACACGGGCGGGAGTCAAGGACGTCATAGATAGGAGGAAGTTCGAGGCTTCTACTCCACCCCAGAAGCCTCTCCCAGAGCCCTTCCTCAACCCTTTAGGCCACGGAAGGGGGTGGGGGTGGGGGGTTCTGAGAACTGGAGTATTGGAGTTCAGCAGTCACTGCCCAACTTCCATCCTGTGTGGACAACCTTGCAAGGTGGAGCTTGTAGATGCAGGCTTTCTCAGGACAAAAGCTCCAGCCCATTTGTGAACAGTCATTAGATGACAGAAATACTCCTAGCAAATAGCCTTTAATAGATTTCAAAATGGTGAGATTACAGTTCTTGTAGTCGTACATGCTGCCACAAGAGGACACTAGCTGGGCAGACATGCTGTAAGGCACAAAATATATCCTAGTATATTGCACTAAGGTGCACAAAACCCCCAATGGTAACACTAACAATTGGTCTTTCCTTGTAACATTAAATCTTCCTAAATTCTCATAAGAGATCTTAGCCGGCAGAACCTCAAGCACAAAACATGCAAGTCTAGGCTTGTTGAAATATATTGATGCTGTATTTTAGGTACTTTCTCAAGAACTAAGGCCCGAAGAAGGCCCAGAAGACCCTCAACTGTTAATGTTTCCTAAAATATTTACTCCCTGTCTTGAAACAAACCATCATCCTGCAGGCTGGAGAGATGGAGTTAGTGGCTGCTCTGGAGAACCGCTGTTCAACTCAGCACTCGTGTGGGACTCAAATTGTTTATAGCTTTAGTTCCAGAGGAATTGATGCTCTTCCAGATTCCTGGACATTAGAAATCACCTTGCTCTGGGAGGTGGTGATGCATTCTTTTAATCCTTGGGAGAGACAGAGACAGGAGGACCTCTGGGAGTTCAAGGCCAGCCTGGTTCCAGGAAGGCCCCAAAGCTAGAGATCCTGTCTCAAAAACAAAAAAAAAAAAAAAAAAAAAAAAACCAACCAAAAACCTTGCTTGCATCAGGCCAGTGTGTGCACTTAATCCCATTTAGGAAGCAGAAGCAGGTTCTGAGTGGGAGCTAAAAAGAGAGATCCAGGATAACCAGGGGTAGGTACACAGGGAGACCCTGTCTCAAACAAAATCATCTTGCCCTTTAACCAAAAACTACTATTCTGCTAAAGAGTGGGGCATGGATATTGTGGAGCATACATGTAATCTTTGCAGTTGGAAGGCTGAGACAGGATCACTGAGGTCAAATCAAGACTACCCAGTGAGATTCAAAAAAAACAAAGTCCCAGCACTCGGGAGGCAGAGGCAAACTCATCTCAGAGTTCAAGGCCAGCATGGCCAAAGACACTTAGAAATCCTGTCTTGTAAAACTAAAACAAACAACAAAGAAAAGTCATATGAAATACTTGGAAGCAAATACTGTAAGAACCAAGGCTAGGCCTCCCTAACCACAGGAAACTTAACAAGACCCGAAGAATTTCATTAATGAATGGATTTTCATTTTTGATAATTGTTACAAACATAACCTGATTATGCTAAATTCAGCCTCTCATGGTCAACTGCACTGTTAAGCTGTTTTAGAAGCAAGACAGACAGACAAATGAGGGGTGTACACTTTATTGAAAACTTTAAATATTCTTCAGATGGGACATGGCATCTTCAACCAGGCTCTTGTGTGGCCTACACAGAAACTGAGCTTTCAGCACGGAGAATACAGTACAGAGTGAGTTTGCAGAGAAGGACCCCTCAAGATGCATGCTCTTCTGCCAGCTTATCAGCCTTGGCCACAGCCTCCTCAATGGGTCCCACCATATAGAAAGCTTGTTCCGGGAGATGGTCATAGTCACCTACACAGGGGAAATACAAATTAGTAACAAGTGGAGTTACATCAGTGTTCCACAGTACATACAACCTCAGCAAAGGAGGCCATGGGCCAGACGGATGAATTCTTCATCCAAGGAAACTTTGCTAAACTTCAAAGTGAAATTTACTTTTTGTTTTGTAGGACAAGTTTTCATTACTTAACCCTGGCTGGCCTGGAACCCACAGAAGTCAAGCCTGGCGGTGGTAGCACATGCCTTTAATCCCAGCACTCGGGAGGCTCAGGCAGGCAGGCAGGCAGGCAGGCAGGCAAATCTCATGAGTTCCAGGCCAGCCTGGTCTACAAGAGCAAGTTCCACGAAAGAACTGTTATACAGAGAAATCCTGTCTCAAGGGGAAAAAAAAATCTACTTGAGAATGCTGGGACTAAAGGTGTGCACTGCTACACCTGCCCCCTTCCAAGTAGAATTTAAAACAAGACACAGGATATAGAGACATAATTAAGGCTGGGCAGTGGGGGTGCATGACTTTAATCCCAGCGCTTGGGAGACAGAGGCAGGTGGATCTCTGTGAGTTTGAGGCCAGCCTGGTCTACAGCGTGAGGACTGTTTCACAGAAATCCTGTCTAGAAAAAAACAAAAAACTAACAAAAAATAACCCACATAATTAACTGTTGGGTCGCACACCTTTTAACCCCAGCACCAGGAAGAGGCAGAAGATTTATGGGTTCATTGCCAGCCAAGTCTATAGAGCCAGTTCCAGTACAGCCAGGGTTACAGAGAAGCCCTGACCTGTAATCCTCTGGTCACCACTGGCTGTTCAGGGGAGCTAACCCCTGTTGGTTCCTGTATGCACAAACATACATACACTAAGGCATATAAGCACCGAAAAACATACACATAGATAACTTGGAGCACCTGAGTTCAAAGTCTGGCTCACTGTCATGGGACAGTTTAATATTTTCTGTGTTAGTTAGGCGGTGGTGGTGCCTGCCTTTAATCCCAGTACTCAGGAGGCAGAGGAAGGCAGATCTCTAAGTTTGAGGCCAACCTGGTCTACAGAGTGAGTTCCAGGACAGGTCCCAAAGGTAGAGACAAATGCTGTTTCAAAAAGACAAAAAAAATTTCTGTGTTGTCACCACAGCAGGGTGATGCTCCTTTAATGAAAGGGCTACAATATACCACAAAGAATATTCACTCTGGGCTTCAATTTCTCTAACATTTGTATGGTTCCCTTGGTAGAAAAATCTCACCTGCTAAAATCTGCTGGAATCCTTTAATGGTCTCCTTCAAGGGCACCAGCTTTCCCATATGTCCTGTGAAGACCTCAGCAACCTGGAATGGCTGAGACAAGAAGCGCTGTATTTTTCTTGCCCGGGATACAGTCAACTTATCTTCCTCAGAAAGTTCATCCATACCCAAGATGGCAATGATGTCCTGGAGAGATTTGTAGTCCTAAAAGAAAACAAGATGAAAAGGACAGAGTCAATTCCTTTAATTTACAACTATTAGAAAAGTTCCGGGTGAGCCAAGATTTGTGTCTGGTTCTTCCCAGTCCTGATTAAGTAAAAGAGAAAAACTAGACTCTAAAAGGCGAAGTACCCTGAAACCAGAGACCTCATCAGCAGTAAAATTCCATTCTCAACATTTCTTGCTCCAGAACAAATCCCACAAATGACTGGAGAAAATCCCGTCCTCCTGACGTGAGGCACTCACCTGCAGGATCTTCTGCACCCCTCGCGCAACATCATAATGCTCACTGCCAACAATATTTGGATCCATAATTCGAGAGGTGGAGTCCAGAGGATCCACAGCTGGATAGATGCCCAGCTCAGCAATAGCACGAGACAGCACAGTAGTGGCATCCAAATGGGCAAAGGTAGTTGCAGGGGCAGGATCAGTCAAGTCATCAGCAGGCACGTAGATAGCCTAAGTCAAAAATTCATGGAGATCAGCACACCAAACTCCTACTTAGGCCATCTACTTTCCAACCTGTCTCAAAAATCAACACCCTTGTCTTTGCATCCATGGTGCTGGATTACAGCTATGCACTCCCTTGTTTGGGTCCATGTATTATGCTATACTTTAACTCCACAGCAATGGTACTAACTTTTGGGGAAGTTTTGCTCTTAAAAAACAAGGTGGGCTACTGGTGTAGCACGCCTTTAATCCCAGTACCCGAGAAGCAGAGGCAGGCAGATCTCTGAGTTGAGACTTGCCTGGTCTACAGAGTGAGATCAAGGACAACCAAGGCTAGAGACCCTGTCTCGAACTCCCCCCCCCAAAAAAAACTTACACTATTACAACAGTTAAGTGAACATGAACATAAAAGTGAACATAAAAGTGCACAACAAGGGGCTGGAAAGATGGCTCAGATGTTGCTCTTCCAGGGGACTTGGGCTCAATTCCCAGTACCCACATGGCAGCTCACAGCTGGCTATAAGTTCCAGGGGATCTGACACCCTCACACAGACACAAATGTATACCAATCCACATAAAAACTAGAAAAAAAAGAGTGGCCAAGAGTTAAGTGAACATGAATGTAAGAGGTAAGATATCCTCAGCATTCAAAGCCTTGACGTCAAGCCCCACAACACACAAACAAGGAAACAATGAAGGCCAGATATGATGATGGCTCCCTTTGCAATCCCAACACTTAGCGGAGGCAGAACTGCTGAGTCGGGAAACTAGTTGCATAGATAGTAAAGCACCAGGCCAGCTAGAACTACACAGCAGATCTAATCTCAAAAACAAAAATTGTATTTTATTATTATTGTGTGCTCGCATGAGTTAATATGCACTGTATACATGAATGAGCCTGCAGAAGGTAGAAGAGGCTGTCAGATCCCCTAGAACTGGAGTTACAGGTGGTTGTGAGCCACCAATAGACATTGGGAAAAGAATCCAAATCTTTTGCAAGAGCAGAAAGAATTTTTTACCTGCTGAGCCATTGCTTCAGCCCCAGATCCCTCAAGTAGATGAATGTTTCATTTTTTAAGTTTTGTGAGATAAACCTTAAGTGTCACGTAGCCAAGTTAGCTGGGAACTCACTATGTAGCTGAAACAGCCTTGAGTTTCCAACCTCCCTGCCTCTCCCCATATGCTATGACCAG